TATTTTAGCCAAATTCCTAATTCTATATCTTAAGAGTGGTTATCTTAAGTGTGAGTTTTAGGTTCTAGATTTTGATTAAGTGTGTCATATCTTAATTAAATTCTAGATTCAAACCCCAAGTTAGGATAAGAGTGTGTAATATCTCTTAAACACCAACTTGGTTTATCCATCTCTGATTTTCTTCCATTTCATACCTCCCCATTTCTCCTCTTAATCTCACTCTTTTCTTCCATTAAAATACCCAAAAGAACTCCCTCATCAACTCCATATATTTCCAGTCCATTCCCCACAAAAACACCCTTCTTCCTGCCCAGAAAACTGTCAAATAATCGATTATTGCTACTGTAAATCGATTATCCCCCCTCCCAGAACATCCCCAAAAAACCGCCCAAGAACCTGAAGCCCTTAACAATCGATTATCCACTCAGGACAATCGATTATCTCCCCTTCCCTGCAAATAAAGAGGTTTTAACTATAAAACCCGGAGCTGAGATATAACACTTATCTCCAATACCTGAGAGTGGTGGTTTACATTCTATTGAGGACACACTGCTTTGGTTTTGTGTATGACTGTCGTATTTGTATTGACTAATGATTGTGTGTGCTGCAGTCTTTCTTAATTGTATCAGATCCTTCTATTGCCAAACACATATTAAAAGACAACTCAAAGGCTTATTCCAAGGTTAGTTGGCCTTTTTATGGATTTTTTTGGTGAATATGTGCTGAACTTGTCCAATACATTTTGTTTTTAAATTGCCATGCAAGTTGGTGAATTGAGGAGTGAGGGGAAGGCAGGGTCGATGGGTTCAGATGTTTAAAGGTAATATTAGATGTACCAAAAAAACTAAATCCAGCAAACATTTTGATGTTCAGGGCATCCTAGCTGAAATATTGGATTTTGTAATGGGGAAGGGACTCATACCTGCAGATGGGGAGACATGGCGTGTTCGGCGGCGTGCTATTGTTCCAGCATTGCACCAGAAGGTATTTAAAGTGGTTGTG